AAAACTTTTTGACTCGAGGGCCACAATGGGTTCTTAAACTGGACCGGAGGGCCGGAACAAAAGCATGGATGGAGTGTTTGTGTGAACTAATATAAATTCAAAGTAAATATCATTACATAAAAGGGTACGGTCTTTTTTTTTTTTTAGTTTTATTCATTTCAAACAGCTGGATCCAGCCCGTGGCCCGTAGTTTGCCCACAGCTGGGTTGGAGGGTTGTCCCAATATGCCAAGGTTGTGGGTGCAATCCCTGGTCAGGGCACATAAAGCAACCAACCAGTGAATGCATAAATAAGTGGGACACAAATCAATGTTTTTTCTTTCTTCCCTGAATTTGTCTTTGTCTCTAAAAACAAAACAACTTTCAGGAAAATGGTACTTGTCCCCCAAAAAGTAACTTTGTAGAATATGTTTTAATTCTTAGTATAGAACATTTCTTCATGTACATTGTATACATCAGTGTGGGGTTAGAGTGTGCATGTTGCACTCTGCCTAGAAGGCTAGGCCTGTGCCTGAGACATGCAAACAGTGTCTTGGCCTGTGGGGAGCAGGCATGGTGATGTGGGCCTGTGGGGCCTCCTAGGCCACCCTGTATCATCTGTGAGCATCGGGGACTGCCACGAGCATGCTACCTGTTCTCTCTGGCTCACATTCCTTATCTTGCCTTATTCTCTCCTATAGGGTTTTGCTTATATCCCTGGGAGTTAAGCTCTAGACTAGTTTGCTTAAGACTTGTCCTATTTCCATCTGTTGGTCTTATCTTAACTTTTATTGTATAAGCATAGTAAACAGAAGAGGACGATGAACTCTCATATATCCATCACCCAGCTTTGAGTATCAACATCTGCTATTTTTTTTTTTTATCTCTACCTCTCTCTACTCCCTGCCTCATACTTGATGTTTTAAAGGTAAAATTTTTATAGGTTAAAATGCACAAATCTTAACTAGACAATTTTGACAAGTAGAAAATCCCATGTAACCCTCACTCCTATTAAGGTGTAGAGCCCTAGCCAGTTTGGCTCAGTGGACGGAGCATCCCGGGTTCGATTCTGGTTGAGGGGCATGTGCCTCCATCGCAGGCTTGATCTCCACCCCTGGTTGGGGCATGTGCAGGAGGCAACCGATCGATGTGTTTTGCTCACATTGATGTTGTTCTCTCTTTCTGCCTCTACCCCGCCCTTCCATTCTCTCAAAATCAATGGAAAAGTATCCTAAGTGAGGGTTAATAACAACAAAAAAGATGTAGAATATTTCCATTACTTCAGAATATGCTCTCCTGTTCTTGTTCTCTTTTGAAGTGAGAACTATACTAAGACGGAAACCCCTGATCCCAGATGCCAGTAAATCATTACATGGTCAAGGCCGAGAATGCAGTCCAAAGTCAACACTTAAAAGGCTCATGGAGTAACTCCGAAAGCTTAGGCAGTGATGCAGGTCGTGAATTCTAACTAGGGGGTCGCTTTGAGGGTCCAGGATTGTTTCCAGTGTCTTCACTCCTTTGAAACACATTGTCCCGTTCTCCAGTCACTGATACATGTCTTGCATGCTCCCACCTCTCGCATCTGGTGCATCCTCCCGGTCAGTTTCTAAGGACTTTCCACCTCTCATATTCCATGAATTTATTCAGGCTTCATTACAGAATCACAGGAATTGTGCTCAGGGGGTGATGTAACCTGGATGGAAATGAGTGGCTGCTATGAACTCCCTGCTTTGGGTTCAGGTTCAGTCTTTCTATACAGTCAGTTGTGCTTGCTTGGCCTGGATACGTCAGGCTCAGTGAGGCCTGTGTTCTGTTACTTCGGCTGTAATGCTTCAGCGTCGTGGCTTCTAGAGAAAGGAGAGATGTTACTGTCAGTCAGTAACAGGATCTGCCGAGTAGGGAAGGGGGAGTAAGAATTAGGTCATTCTGGGGAGAACAGCAGTTTATAAAGGAGCAGCGTTTTGGCTGGAAGCCAAGTTTTATTTTGAATTTTCGGCTTTGGGATGCAGGGATCAGTGTCTCCTGCTGCCTCCCACTGGCACTACTACCTTGTAACCTGTCCTGACAAGTCACAGTAGGAGTGGAAACTGGCTGTGGAATTCACAGGATTCAGTGGAACATCTGGCTTAACTATAGGTTGGCAGCATTTACAGAAGAGTTCACTCCAGTCACAAACCAGCTGAGAGAGCTGTCAGATGAGTGGGGAGCGGTTCTTCCGTTAGAAACATGGAAGCACTGACATCCCATTAGAGCAGGATTAGAAGGCAGCTTTTGGATGGAGATGCAGATGAACAGGGAAATTACCCAGCAGACACAAGAGAAAAGACGAAACACTGGTCCTGCTGGTGTGGCGCAGTGGATGAGCGTCGACTTATGAACCAGGAGGTTACGGTTCAATTCCTGGTCAGGCACATGCCTGGTTTGCAGGCTCCATCCCCAGTAGAGGGCTTGTAGGAGGCAGTCTGTCAAAGATTCTCTCTCATCATCCATGTTTCTATCTCTCCCTTCCCCTTCCTCTCTGGAATCAATAAAAATATGTTAAAAAATAATAATTAAAAAAAAGAAAAACGTTGTGTTAAATATAACAACTTAGCTCCTGGGGTGTAATGACTAGGTAAATTTTCTTTTGTTTTTAAAGTTAAATTTATTGGGGTGACATTGGTTAATAGGATCATATAGGCTTCACGTATAGATTTCTGTTACAAGGTCTTTATGTTGCGCTGTGCCTACCACCCAAAGTCAGATCATCTTTCGTCATCATATATTAGGCCCCCTTCACTCTACCCTCCCCGACATGGGGGTCTTCCCATTATCAATCTGGCATTTTATATTGTTCTAAAGTTTTTTTTCTGATCTACTGTTTTTATTTATTGCACCCATAACAGTGATACAATGATGAGTAATTTACTACATGAATGTATAGAGTAGTGCATGCTGTTATATAAAGTTAAAAAATTGTTTTTTTTTTATTTTTTGGTTAAACTTCACCAGAGGATATTTTTCCCACTAATATTTAGAGAGAGAGAAAGAGTGGAAGGGAGGGGGAGAAACACACAGAAACATCGATGTGAGAGAGAGACTGACATGTTGCCTTCTGCACGTGCCCAACTGGGGCCGGGGATTGAGCCTGCAGCTGAGGTTCCGGCCCCTGACTGGAATCGAACCTGAGAACCTTCAGTCTGTGGGCCGACGCTCTAACCACTCAGCACCAGCTAGGATTCTCCTTCCCTTTAAAGGTAACCATTCTTAAAGACCTTTAGAAAATAATTTTGAAGAGAAAAATTATTTACTGCCACTTTCCCCCCATATTCTTTTCTAGTCTTTATATATATTCATACATTCTATAATTTCAATCTTAGAGTTCAAGTTATTTTTATAGATTCTTACTGAACATTTTTCCATGTGATCCTCATGATTGTTTTAATGGCTGCATGATTATTTTTTTAAAAAATATTTTTTATTGATTTCAGAGAGGAAGGGAGAGGGAGAGAGAGATAGAAACATCAATGATGAGAGAGAATCATTGTCTGCCTCCTGCACGCCCCTCACTGGGACTGAGCCCGCAACCCACGCCCTTGACCGGAATCAAACCTGGGACCCTTCAGTCTACAGGCTGATGCTGTGTCCACTGAGCCAAACCCACTAGGGCACTGCGTGATTATTTTACTTATTTACGATAAAAATGCAGACATTGCTGGATGTGAATGTGGTTTTCTTACTCTCAGCTTGCTTTTTTATCCCTCCTATATATAACCTTTGTTCTTCTTTTGAACTAACTTCCTTGGGGTAAATTTTCCAGAGTAGGATTACTGGATCAGAGTATCTTATGACTGTAATATGTATTCTCAAAGGTTCATTATGAAAACTGTATCATTTATTTATCTTTTAAAAAATATGTTTTTATTGATTTCAGAGGAAGGGAGAGGGAGAGAGAGAGATAGGATCATTGATCGACTGTCTCCTGCACTCCCCCCATTGGGGATCGAGGCAGCAATCTGGGTATATGCCTTGACCGGGAATTGAACTATGACCTCCTGGTTCATAGAGTGATGCTCAATCACTGAACCACACCAGCCGAGCTATTGCTTTTAATAAAACTTACTTTATAGAACTCTTAGCATGGTTACCATATGTCTTTTGTTAAAAATCAGCCCTGGCTGGTGGTGTTCAGTGGTTAGAGTTTGGCCTGTATACCCAAGGGTTGTGGGTTTGATCCCTGGCCCGGTTGAGGTGCATGCAGGAGGCAACCAATTGATGTGTCTCTCTCACATTGATATATCTGCCCTCCCCCCACTCTTTCAAAAAAAAATCAATGAAAAGATATCCTCGGGTGAGGATTAACAACAACAAAAGAATAATAATCAATTAAAGTCTTTTCTGCTCATTAAAAAAATTGTAACTATAATTTATAAAGTTCTGAAAGTATTTAAAAATTATTCGTAAGTTTTAGTCAGAGGCAACTACCATTAATATTTTCTTTCTTTTCAGTCTTTTAAAGCGTTTTTGCACAGCTGAGGTACTACTGTATATACAGTGTTATATACCATTCTTTTGGCTTAACATGAATGGTTATTAAAAGCATCTAAATATCCATTTTCATATCTTTATAACAATCTGTTATATGGCTGTTAGCACGGCTTCTTTATCCATTTCTTTAACATTGGGGAGTCAGATCATTTCCAGTTCTTTTCAGGCCAGTGTGTGTTGAATCATAAGTAACAGTGGTTTCTTCCTTCTGGTGATGGCTCAACCTCCAGCGATGACTATGACTCCAAGAAACGCAAACAGCGGGCTGGTGGAGAGCCTTGGGGTGCTAAGAAACCAAGGCATGACTTGCCTCCTTACCGAGTCCATCTCACTCCCTATACTGTGGACAGGTGAGTGGCAAGGCTGGGTGGGGGTGGGGGAGCAGCTTGTAGCTGGTAACAGAGTCTTGTGTAAATGAGATACAGTTTTTGTGAGAGTTTATGTGTGTGAGTGTGTGTTCTTATGACCTTTTGTTTTTTAATGTGACAAATTTTTTACTTTGAAATCTCAGATTTTGACCAGCAGAGCACCACTGACATGGGTGCCCCGATAAACTATGATTTGATCACCAGAAATGATTATGCCAGGCTGTAACTGAGGCTTGCCAGTCGGTAGCAGTTAAAATGCAGGTAGAAGCTGCAGCTCATAGGAACGCTGGCACTGGTTTCTGCATTGTTTTCTAAGTGCTACAGCATGTAGCCTGCAAGCTGACGTCTCACTCGCAGCAACTGACAGAGTTCCATCTGAGTGCCTGCCGCTGCTGGAGTCGTCCAGTTCTCCATCACAGAGGACTTGGGTGTTGAGGAGAATATGAACCACCATGTCTTTCTGTGCTCTGACAGAACCTCAGATACGTGGCCTTCTGGCCAAGCATCTGTGTATTGTTGGAACAATCATTGTAGGCCTGGGGTTGCAGCTTCCTATGAGTTTGTGTGGCTGAACCAAGAAAGAAGGCATACACAGATTTCCACAGAAATTAGGATTCCATGACAGATATTGAGGAGAGAGGAAGGCTGGTGTCTTTTATTTTTATTTTTTAATATACTTTATTGCTTTTTTACAGAGAGGAAGGGAGAGAGATAGAGAGTTAGAAACATTGATGAGAGAGAAACATCGATCAGCTGCCTCCTGCACACTTCCCACGGGGGTTTTCTCGCAACCAAGGTACATGCCCTTGACCGGAATCAAACCTGGGACCTTTCCGTCTGCAGGCCGACACTCTATCCACTGAGCCAAACCGGTTACGGCAAGGCCGGTGTCTTTTAGAGTGCAAAGTGATCTTGGAATGTAAAGAATTTTTTAGGAAGTTTGTCACTGACCTGTGTTCCTGAACTATGAAACATGGATATTTGAGCTAAGGAATAGTTTCTCTCGACAAATAAAACAGTTAATAAATACTGCGGACAGTCAGTCTTTGCTCAATTATTCTTAATAATGTAATTTTGGGCACTTGCATCAGAATTGGTTAGGGATTTTAACTGTTTATGAACCTTACTAAGATAATCTCAGTATTAATATTTTGCCGGGGGGGGGGGGGAAACTGACTTAAGAGGTAGATGAGCGACTCCAGATTCCATCTAGCAGTGGAGAGGCAGGGCTCCAGGTACGGTATTGATACACCCCCAAAGCAAAGTCCACTGGAAGCCCAGCTGAGGCGAGGGGCAGGTCCTGGCACCTCCTCAAGGTGGGAGAGGAGGACTGTCCCTCTCTTCCGGTGTCACTGTTCCTCTCCCCCGGCCTAGGCAGGGCCTCTTGTTCTCCATGCTGATCCACATGGCTCCCATCTCACAAGACACCGATTTCCATGTCACATCAAGTCAGAACATGACTGCTAACTATTAGACACACATTTTTTTAAAAAAAACCAATGTGAAAATTGGAGGCCTGTTGTACATAGTGTTTGGTACTTTGCTTTTTCATTTAATTTCACTAAAATCTTAGAATTTATTCCATATTAATGTTTATTAGCTTGAGCTCATTCTTTTTAGCAATTATATGGTATTCCACTGAATGGTTGGACTACCATTTATTTAACCAGCTCTCTCCTCATTTTTAGTCTTATCCTAAATATTGTTGTAATAAACATCCTTCTGCATGCATCCATGTGGACAGGTCAAGCATTTTGCTGAGATCAGCTCCTAGAAATGGAGTGGCTGACCCAAAGGGTCTGATTTTGAACTTTGATGGCTATTGCCCATTGTTTATTTACTTTTATTTTTTAGTGAGAGAGGAAGAGAGAATTGCTCATTCTTTTAAAGAGGTCATACCAGTTTACGTTCTCACCATTGGGGCATGAATTACTTGTTTCCCCAGTCCTCTGCCAACACTGCCTTATCAAACTTTTTTATCTTTGTCAGTCTGATGGGTGAAAAGTGATATCTGATTTGCATTTCTTTAATTATAAGTGAGATTGAGCATATTTATATGGGCTTTTAAGTCTCATTTCTGTTGCTGTCACTTTTCCCAGTGTTCTCTTAGATTTGTGTGAACTTTTGGTTAGTGATTTTTTGGTTCCTTTTATGTTAAGCAGTGACTCTTTTCTCTGTTATGTATTGCAAATGTTTTCCTCTCCAGTTTAACTATTTTGCCTTTAGAGGTTGTAACATTTTTGGTGGTTAAATTGGATCCAGTTTTTCCCCCAGATGTGTCTTACTTAGAAGTTCTTTCCCAGATTATATAAAAGAACTTGCCCTTTTATTTTTCAAATCTTTCACGGTTCAGTTTAAAAGATAACTTAGTCTTGGCTTCTTCCCACAGCCCCACCTGTGACTTCCTAGAGCTCCAGCGCCGTTACCGCAGCCTCCTGGTCCCCTCAGACTTTCTGGCTGTGCATCTGAGCTGGCTGTCAGCCTTCCCTCTGAGCCAGCCCTTTTCCCTCCACCACCCGAGCCGTATCCAGGTATCTTCTGCAAAGGAGCCAGCTCCAGACACTGGTGCTGAGCCCGTCCCCGCAGACAGTGACCCCGCGTACAGTTCCAAGGTAAGTTGGCTGGGGTCCCGCCGCTTGCTCCTGTTGTTGGAGGCTGAGAAAGCTGAGTGTCCTTCCCGCTACCCTCAGGTACTACTGCTCTCTTCCCCGGGATTGGAGGAACTGTTTCGTTGTTGTATGCTCTTTGTGGATGACATGGCTGAGCCAAGGGAGGCACCAGACCACCCTCTGAAGCAGATTAAGGTGAGAGCTGGAGTCCATTAGGCAAGACGCATTCATTGATAATATCCAGTCCGGGTCACGTTTGCAGCAGCTCAGCTCCTACTCATGAACTCCTAAAAACAAGGCTTTTCAGAGCTGAAACACCTCTGGTTTTACCAGGAGCATAGCACTGCTCAGAGCTGTTATTGTCAGAATGTTACGTGGCTGGTCGTGTTCATGGGTGGAGAAGCCACCCCCCACTGTCCTGTGGACTCTTTGCCACATCCTGCTGCCTGCATCCCCAGCGGTGGCAGGCTGCCTTCCAGTGGGAGACCCAGGTAATTGTTTTTTCATTTCTTAGCCCTGATCTCGTTTTGCAGTTTCTGCTGGGCCGGAAAGAAGAAGAGGCAGTGCTGGTTGGGGGTGAGTGGTCTCCTTCCCTGGACGGCCTCGACCCCAAGGGCGACCCGCAGGTGCTAGTCCGCACCGCCATCCGCTGTGCACAGGCCCAGACCGGCATTGACTTGAGTGCCTGCACCAAGTGGTGAGTGGCTGCCCGTGGCCGGCTATTGCGAGTAGAGTTGGCGACTGTTCGGGCCAAGCTTCTGCACCTTTCTGACCTGTTAGCTCTCCCTTGTTCCCCAATCCCAGCTCAGTGCTCTCTCCGGCCTTCACAAATGGCCGCCTGCATCATGAGCATCACTAGGGATGTGAATGTGGGAGGGCAGCTAACCTCTCCTCCAGCAACCTTCAGTGCCCCTTCTTGTTGCCTTAGCACCTTGGAAAGTAAATGTCTGCTGCTTTGTGTCTCCCATTGACTAACCATTTCCTGAGGACCTGTCTGTATCTTCTGTTTTTGAACGTTCAAAGCTTGGCTCGCAGTGTGTGCTCACTAAATGTTGATTGGAAACTGAAGCACTTGCTTGCAGATGTCTTGGGTCACTACTTCGTTTTCCCTTTGCTGTGAGCAGGTGGCGCTTTGCTGAGTTTCAGTACCTGCAGCCAGGACCCCCGAAGCGGCTCCAGACCGTGGTGGTGTACCTGCCGGATGTCTGGACCATCATGCCTACTTTGGAAGAGTGGGAGGCCCTGTGCCAGCAGAAAGCTGCAGAGGCAGCTCCCCTGGCCCAGGAGGTGCCCGTGGTAAGGCAGAGCCTTACTAACAGGTGGGGAGAATAGGTGCCCTGACCTAAGCCCAGGTGGTCACAGCTCTTGGCTTTTATCACAGGAAACAGAGCCTACAGAACAGGCAAGTGAGGCATCGGAGCAAGGAGCGGACACCAAACAGAATGCAGAGAACCCGGAGGCCACCACACAGCAGGAAGCGGACACGGACCTCCCAGAGGCCCCTCCCCCACCTCTGGAACCCGCTGTCATGGCCCGCCCCGGCTGCGTGAACCTCTCCCTCCATGGCATCGTGGAGGACCGCAGGCCCAAGGAAAGGATCTCTTTTGAGGTGGGTGTAGGAGTCTGGGAGGCTGTGGGTGGGGTGTATGGGTGTGTGGCGGGGCTTGGGACGTTCCCTTTTTCCTGATGCCCATGGGCCTCTTTCACCAGGTGATGGTGTTGGCTGAGCTGTTTCTGGAGATGCTGCAGAGGGACTTTGGCTACAGGATTTATAAGATGCTGCTGAGCCTTCCCGAAAAGGTCGTGGCCCCACCTGAACCTGAGAAGGAGGAGGTGGCCAAGGAGGAAGAAGTGGCCAAGGAGGAGGTGGCCAAGGAGTCCAAGGAGGAGGTACAGAGTGAGGGCACAGCTGCCGAGTCAGACACCCCACCGGTGAGTACTTCTGCCCCCTGCGCGGGCACTGGGGCTACACGTAGTAACGTTGAACGGGACTCGAGTGCGGCAGGTACCAGGTGCTGTTCTGAGCACGTACGGTCTCAGAACCCGTCACTCATGTGCCTGAGCCTGGTGTGTAATGGGCGCAGGTGCTCGGCCCTCGGCCAGGGAGTCTGTGCTGTTGTGTCTGGAGTGAAGCGGGCGCAGGAGGGAAGGGAAGTGTGGTTGGTGGCAGCACAGGGAGCTCCGTGAAGGAGAGTGCTCTGAGGGGCTCAGGCTGTGGTCAGCCCGAACACTGCATTCTCCTAGCCCTTCTACAGCATTTGGGGCTTCTCGCCTAAGTAAACGGTCTCAGGGCAACATAATTTCTTACAGGCTGCACTGGACTCCTGGGGAGAATCCCCGGTGTCTGGAAGTGCCCCGGTCTGCTCTGGACCGTGTCATGAAATACTTTACATGACGTGGTGCACACAGAGCCCTTAACAGTGCCTTAGGGGGCTGACACTCAGTGTTAGCCATTGTCATTGCTAGTAATTACAGGGGACAGTCCTCCTCATCTCAGTCTGCTTTCCTTAGAAGGAAGATGGGGTTCTGCCCAAACCCCCATCTTCTGGAGGAGAGGAAGAAGAGAAACCCCGGGCTGAGGCGTCGGAGGACCTCTGTGAGATGGCCCTGGACCCGGAGCTGCTGCTGCTGCGGGACGACGGGGAGGAGGAGTTCGGTGAGCTCAGGGGGAGGGAGCATGCGGGCGGCTGCGGGCGGCTCTAGTGTTCTCCCGTTGGGACTGGAGCCGGTGTGGCCATGTGGTCACTGCTCCAAGCTCATGCCAGGCCTTCTGTAGCAGGAGCCAAGCTGGAGGATTCCGAGGTCCGTTCTGTTGCCTCCAACCAGTCAGAGATGGAGTTCTCTTCCCTTCAGGACATGGTAAGACCAGTGTTCTGCCCCTCCGGCCTCAGTGACAGTGACACTCAGCAAGGCCTGAGCCCGTCCTTGGGAGCTATACGTCTACAAATGACTTCCATTGTTCGTTGACTGACCAGACATGTGGTTCTTGGCTCATGGAACAGCACCTCTGTAGGACCCAGGGGACACCAGCGTCTGTCAGGGGGAATAGGAGAGGCAGCTGGTGCAGGACACACACACTGGGTTCCTGGGTGGGACAGCCCCAGGGCCAGAAACGCCCTGGAGGCCTGGGGTTAGAGGCTCAGGGTCAGGTCTCCAGCCGGAAGGTGCACCTGGTGGGACTGTCAGCCAGGCCGCTCGGCTGTAAAAGGGCGATCAGCCAGAGAGAACGCTGTGTAACCCCGTTCATCCTCGTTTCCTCTTGCAGCCCAAGGAGCTGGACCCCTCTGCCGTGCTCCCTTTGGACTGTCTTCTTGCGTTTGTCTTCTTCGATGCCAACTGGTGTGGCTACTTGCACCGTCGAGACCTGGAGAGGATCCTGCTGACCCTTGGGCTCCGGCTCAGTGCAGAGCAGGTGCCTTCTCTCGCGTCCCCCTTGGTCCTTTCTGAGGTGGCCTCACCTGACGTAATGTGCACAGGCACGCACCTGAACTGTGGGGGACTTGGGATGCTCCAGTTCTAGGTTTTTTCACGTCCCGGGGAGCGCTTGCACCTTCTCATCGGAGGGGATCTGGGTGTGTATTTTCTGCAGGCCAAACAGCTGGTCAGCAGGGTGGTGACCCAGAACATTTGCCAGTACCGCAGCCTTCAGTACAGCCGCTCCGAGGGCACGGACAGTGGGCTTCCTGAGGAGGTCCTCTTTGGTGTGTACTGGCGCTCTGCAGCCTTCTGTGGAGAATGGGCAGGGCAGGGCAGCTGCTTTCTCCTCCTGAGACCCGACCCTTACCTCTTCTCATGGCGCTTCTAGGAAACCTGGACCTGCTACCTCCTTCTGGGAAAAGCGCAAAGCCAGTAGCTGCCCCTCTGGAACACAAGGGCCTGGTGTCCCACAACGGCAGCCTGATCCATGTGGGGAACCTGCTGCAGCGTGCGGAGCAGCAGGACAGTGGGCGGCTCTACCTGGAGAACAAGATTCACACACTGGAACTGAAGCTAGGTGAGTGGCTGATGGGGCTGCCGATGACCAGCAGATGGGTACACGGAGACCGAGGGGAACCCACTCCTTAGGCTGCAGGCCTCTTGCCCTGAGCTCTGATCCTTAACTTAGCCCGTCTTTCTGGTGTGTCCTACCAGAGGAGAGCCATCACCGCTTCTCAGCCACTGAGGTAACAAACAAGACGCTGGCAGCTGACATGCAGGAGCTGCGCTCCCGGCTGGCTGAGGCCGAGGACACGGCCCGCACAGCTGAGCGGCAGAAGAACCAGCTTCAGCGGCTGCTGCATGACTTCCGGAGGCGCCTGACCCCCCTGCAGCTGGAGATGCAGCGAATGGTTGAAAAGGTGAGCCTGTAGGAGAGCTGGCTTAGTTGGGAGGCTTAGTCAAGATGATGCCAAGACAACAGCCTCTTGGTCCAACTCGCCTTCTCCCCCATCCACCAGTTTCTTAGGGAATCTGTCAGCCAGCAGCTTGCAAACTTGAGTCCCCAGGAGGAAGTGGGTAGCAGTCCTTTCTCCTCGGGTCCTAATTCTCGTGCCGTCTGTTGCAAACAGGCTGACAGCTGGGTAGAGAAGGAGGAGCCAGCACCTAGCAACTGAGGGCTTGACGCAGGAGCTGCCATCCTGCGAGGTCAGCGATGGAGCCTGCTCAAGTTAGAGCCCTTTGGTTCCAGAGAGAAGCTGAGCAGGACCTGGGAGCAGGCGGGGCAGCTGACCCGTGCTCAGCCTGTGGAGGGGAGCTCAGGCCGTCAGGTGGGGTCTGCCTGTGCTATGTGGACGGACGAGTGAGGAACCGGTTCCACTTACAACTAAATCCAACACCTGCACCCCTCGAATGTCATTTTGCCCTCCACCTTGGGGTTTCTCCTGGGGCCCTTTAGTCTTGTGCTTTCTCCTGTCCTCTTCCAGTTTAGAGTAAGACAGGGGAGGAAAAGGCTCTTTGACTATGTCGTAAGGTCTGATGCCAATAAATGAAGAAACAGACGTGGAGTCTGGCTGGGGTAAGCGCCCCTTCCTGTGAATGGCACAGATCCTGCTGGTCACAGGCACGGGTTCCTGGGGGATGAGTGTCCTGGGGCCTGTGGAGGAAGGGAGTCGGTGCCAGCCAGCTCGCTGTTGGGCTGTCGGCCTGAGCACTGTCCGAGCCCCCCGGACTTGCCAGCAGGAACCAGCACTTCTGCCCCCGGCTCCGTGTTCAGAATGTGGTATTGGCTCTGGCCCAGCCTTTTTCCCGTTCCCCATGAGTCTCACCTCTTTCCGTAATCCGTGGTTTCAGTTTGACTTTGTACATAAAGTTGTTTTTGTTTTTTTTTTGCTTTTGTTTTTTAAATAAACCAAAGTAAAAACAAACCAAGTGTCCTCCGTAGCTTTTCCCTTCTTCCAGGCCAGCTGTGCTCCCACCCCTCCTCCTGGCCCTCAGCCCAGCCTCTGCTGGACAGAGGGGTAGTGGCCTCCAGAAGGTGGGTGGGCAGCAGGGAGAGCGAGCCCCCTTGTGCTCAGGGGCTGCTGGCTGGTGGGAGAAAGGATGCCTTGTGGGTACTGCCAGCTCAGCAGGGGGCAGCATTACCCTGAAAAAAAGTACCCGGGGTGGCTCTCCTCCTTCCCTTAGCTACAGCACAATACAAGCACATTTTATTGAAAACTTTACTGGAAAAAAAATTCCAAATATTCAGGTGAGACACAAACTGTTGTTGCTTTGAGGCCTGTGGATCGGACATTTACAGGAGTTGAATCCATTTCCTAGAGAACCTACAAGACGGGATCTTCCCTGCACTTGACCAAAAGGACAAAAGCCAGCCTTTGTCGTGCTGGGAGCCTAGAGTGAGGGGCCTGTCGAGGCCGGGGGACCACAGCACTCATTTTCAGGACAGTTGTGGGCCTCTCCCAGGAGAGGAGAGAAGTGGGAGGGCAGCAGGGTGGGTGGTGCCCAGGACGGTCTTTTGGAGGTAGATGTGATCCCCGCCATGCACACTGACGGAGCCCGCCGGTGAGCTGACGGAGCCCATGTCCCCTGCATGCGGGCAGCCTGCTCTGGCCCTGGACCAGGAGGCACTTCGGACGGTTCTTCTGGAAATAAGAAAGCCTCTCAGGTTTTATAGGCTGCTTACCTGTCTGCAGGCTCCTGCTATGGGCGGGGAGACAGCAGCCTGCTTAGGGCTCCAAGCGCCAGGCTCATTCCAGAGGGCTGGTGAGGTAGGGCAGGGCCTTCTCCCAGGGATGGCCTTTCGCTGGCTGACGCCTGAGCCTCAGCTGGAAAAGGGCAGAGACTAGGGAAGCCAACGTGTGTCCAGGGGTGTCCCGAGGGGCGGGCTCAGTCATCAGCCACAATAGAGAGGGCTCTGAGCTCGCTCAGTTTAGCTTCATTCTCCCGCTCCCGCTGCTCATCAGGGTGGCCAGGCTGGTCCAGCTGTTGGGTCAGGTCTCCGAAGATCTTATGCATTTCGGAGTAGTAGACAACCTGAGCGGGAGACAGGCGGTCAGCAGGGGCTGGACTCGGCACCAAGCCCCCACAGCACTGGACCCTCCGGGCTGGTTCCTATTCCCTCGACTGCTGCCCTTCCCCTCAGCCCATCTCAACTGCACAGCAACCAGGGAGGCGTGAGCCACTGCCGGAAGCCCTTTAGCACCATCCACTGCCTGGGTGGCAATAAGTCAAAGGCGAGGGAAGCAACAGATCCTTGGGGAGGCGGGAGGTGGAGGTGGGGGCTCTGCCCCTCTCCAAGCAGCACGGGGGGTGTGTGTGTTTTGGGTGGTGGAGGAAGACAGCACAGTCTAGGCTGGGGCTGGGAGACCAGGGAGTCGCGCACTGTGATGAGGGGCTCACTGCTGGACAGAAGCTAGGAGCTGGAGGCTTGTGTTCATGGAGAGGGCATGGCAGGCTCCCAGAGCCCTGGGAACTGGTCTTTAGAAGGTGAGAATGGTGACGCCTCCTCAGCCTTCTGTCCCTTCCCAACTCCTCTCATTGATAATCATGCCTAAGGTGCTCGGCCCAGGGCCCAGGCCAGGCTGTTTCCACATTCCCTTCTAAGTAGGCCCCAGTGTGGGACGGGAAGCTTACAGGAAGGAGGCGGGGGAATGTGAGGAGTGGGGACCCACCAGCAACTCAAGTAAATGGCTGAGGGCTGCTTAGACCCAGGGCCTAAGCAGGCCCAGGATGGGCTTTTCCAGGGGAGGGGGCAGGAGCCATTTTTGCCTCAGTCTCCACCTCGTGACAAATGAAAGTATTCCCATGGCCGTATTCCACACTATTCAAAACCCTTGCATTTTATCCAGCTCCAAGTTGTCTTTGGGGAAAAGAAACTATTGCTTTAGAAACTTGCAGTGCTGCTGCTGGCAAGGCCAGGCTGACTGGCAGGTTTGGTGTCAGGGCCCTGGTCGAGCTGCTTCTAAGAAAGTGTCTCCCACAGCCAGATCTGAGGGGCGCGAAATCAAGGCCCTCACCTCCACTGTCACCTCGGGACAGGAGCCTGGGCTAGTGCTGGGGAGCATGGGGGATGCCCCTTCCCCAGAGCGGCACTGCGTGGCTGAGTCACCAGGAATGCTCACTTCTCCAGTGACTAATGGCAGTGCAGCCTCGGGAGGGGGAGGCTGGTACCAAGCAGGCAGCAACACCCCCACCACCCCGCTGCCTAGTGACAGGGCATCCTGAGCTCCTGAACGGCTCCATCTGGGCACGCCACAGCCTCACACCCTGGAGCGTCCTCCCTGAGCAATGGGACGGAGGAGGTAGGGTAGGCGCTGGGGCTGGAACAGGCGGTGACGCAGCAGGACGGAGGGCGGGCAGGAGGGAAGACACAGGGCTCCTTAAGTACATTCCTCCAGGCCCAGGACGAAGCTGCTGGAAGGAAGCCCTCACCTACTGAGGCAGTGCTCTGGGGCAAGTGTGGGCACCCCCACTCCCTTGTGCTTGCTAGCTTTCTGCCTCATTTTCCCCTAGCTACCAACGACATGGTCGCTAACAAGTCACAGCTCCAAAATCAATCCTGCTCAGGGTTCCTGACCCCAGTGCCAGTCCCATGGGCTTGGTGTTCTCCAAAGATGGCAGGTAACAGAGATAGGAGTCAGGCTTTTTCTTGGGCACCTGTGATTGTGGACTCTGCAAGGAATGACAGTGTCCACTGGAGGGCGCCAGATACCCAGGCCAAGAGCAGAAGTGAGCTGGAGGCAGGTGGGGAGGGCTGAGCCTTCTGCTTTGTTACCTGGTGGGGAAGGTGGGAAGATGGAAGGATGCTGAACATCTGGAGTCAGCTGGGGGTCCCATGTGGAAAAGAACCCTTGGCTTTAGAACCTCCACCTTTTGGTCTTTTACAGATGGGGGGACTAATCCCTGCATATGGCCTGAAGGATGGGAGGTGAAGGGGCAAGGAGGGCAGCAGCTACACCCATCACACACTCCGTATCCCACCACGAGTAGCGGGAGACACAGGGTTGGCCCGTGGCGACCCTCTAACCGCTTAGCCCAGTGCTCCGCTGTGCACCTCCACCCAGCTGCCCTTCCTGCTGGCAGGTGCACCACGGCCAGTGCCCCGCGCGTGGCTCTCCCCGGGTTCACCATGCTCCGTGGTCTCCTGCCAAAGGAAGAGTAACTAGGGTGGGGATGGGGGGTGTAGGGTCCTCAGAAAAGGGACTTCACCCCCTACGCCTCTATCCCTGACTTCCTAAGCACACCAAGCAAAGAGCCTGCCCCTCAGAGTGAGGTGCTGATAGTGCAACCTCCTTTGCTTCTTGCAGTGAACGTGAGAACTAGAGGGAAGAGCTATTAAACGTGGAACCTCGTCCTAGGCTGGGATTAACCAAAGAGCAACGCAGGAACCAAAACAGAGTCCAGCAAATGAGCAGAGGCCCCTGGCTTCCCTCCCTCGGGCAGTGCCGGGGCAGGGTGGGTGGCGTGGCGGCAGGTGTAAGATGTGTCCACAAAGCCACGACTGTCTCCGAGGGAACGTGTTGGGCTGGCGCTCGGGCACGTGGGAGCAGCTCACCTGCGCTCGGATCAGGGACTCAAAGCTGGGCTGGAAGTAGTCAAGCCGGCTGTTGTAGAACCGCGGCATCTCATCCAGGAGCTGCTTGTTCTTGGCCTCAAAGTCGTCCCGAACGGGCCGGAGCTCTTCTCGGGCCTGGGAACAAGACCCTGCGGTCAGAGCTCTCACAGGCTGGCCCAGCATCCCTGCTGCATGTGTGTCTGTGTGTGTGTATGTGCGCGCGCGCACGCATGTGTGTCTGTGTGTGTGTATGTGTGCGCGCGCGCATGTGTGTGTGTGTGTGTGTATGTGCGCGCACGCGCTTGCGCGGCCCGACAGCCTTCAAGGCGGTCCCCAGGTACAGAGGAACTTGCTATGTGTGCCATGTGCCTCGCTGTGTACCCCTTGCCGCTCTCCCGGGTACCTGGTGGAGTTTGGCCAACACTGGCCCCGTCTTCTCCTTTTCCTCGTACTTCTCCACCTTGGCCTGCAGCCTCCTGTAGTCCTGCAGGGCCTGTTCCCGCCGTTTCACCGCCATGTTGAGGCTCGGGAAGACACTGCCGAACCTGCTGACACAGTTGGGTTGGACGCAGCCCGTTCCTAGAGTGCGGCTGGCAGCTCAGCATTCACTCGGAAACACACACACAATGCCTACTGAGGGCCAGATCTTACTCTAGGTCTTGGGGTTCCATTGTGAACAAGACCTGTGGGGTCAGGCCAGGGAAAGAACCCAAGGCTAAGGCTCACACCACTGGCCTGGAAGACACAGAGGGTCATGAGTCCATGATGCCACTTACGCTGCCGCTCGCCCCCACAGGCCCCTCTGAGGCCCTGCCCCACACCACAGCCCTGCCACGGCAGGCAGTGCTGAAGGCTCTTGGGAAGTCCTTTGGCCAACAGCTTCCTTTTAAAAAATGGAAGAAACTGAGGCCAGAGAGAAGGCATGGCACGTCCAAGGCCACATGGAGTTAGTGATGGTCCAGAAGAGAACTCCAGTTCTGTCTGGCACCTCCCATCACCCCAGATGCCACCAGCAGGTGACAGAATTGCAATAAAAACCTACTCCTAGAGCCCTAACTGGTTTGGCTCAGTGGATAGAGCGCCAGCCTGCGGAATGAAAGGTCCCAGGTTCGATTCCGGTCAAGGGCATGTATCTTAGTTGTGGGCACATCCCCAATTGCGAGGTGTGCAGGAGGCAGCTGATCGATGTTTCTCTCTCATCGATGTTTCTAAATCTCTATCCCTCTCCCTTCCTCTCTAAAAAACTCAATAAAATATAAAAAACAAAAACAAAAACAAACCTACTCCTAGTGATCACTTCATAAGGTGTATACATGTCCTAGCAGTATGTTCACACCAGAAAAAGGATAGAGTATCATATGTCCACTATCCTTTAATAATAAAAAAAAATCCCATTTAATAAAGAAGTTTCTGACAAGCCAAAAGCCCCCCCTTCCCTCTCAATAAACAATCCTCCCCTATTCCTGCCCTATCCTACTAGCTGACCACAGGGAGAACAGGAATCTTCTGGTTCTACCACTGAAATGGCCACACTGTCGGCCGATGTCTGCGGAAAACGACTCGAGGACCTCTCCCCCCTCATGGTGACTCAGGCGCAGGCCCCTCAGAAAGAGCCGCAGGCGCCTCGGCATTTTTGGCCATGTGGGCACACGTTGGTGATAGTGTCACCCCTAACTGGGAAGGACAGTGATGGACACTGACGGGCAGGACTCATCCCAGGCAGGGATGCTGCACGTCCCTCGACAAACGATGTCTCCGAGGAAGTGCTGGACACGGCCAGGGAAGCCTGCCGGCAGGGTTTCCGGAACGGGGCAGGACATGAGGCGGGAGGCTCCTGCACAGCCGGCGGAGACCTGGCCGCGCAACAGGAAAATGACCGTGTGGTGGGGACACGGGCTGAGCAGGCGGCCCAGGACCAGGGGAAGGGTCAGTTTCTCTGGAGCAATCAGGGGAGAGGAAGGATGGGGACGGGCAGCTGCGGACTTCAGCCTGCGCTGAGCTCAGCCAGGAGGGCGTCTGAGCACGGGTTGTCTTTAGGAAGTTCAGATGCCACATGAAGAGGGGTTTCCAAGTCTGTCTCTCAAAGGGACGTGACCATGAAGTTGGCTTTTAAATGCCTCAACAAATCAAGAGTACACGTGACACAAGAGTCGAGAATACTTTTGCCAGAGAATACAGAATGTAAACTTGACCAAAGCACTAAACGCACCAAACAAAGCTTAGAACCAGGCAGATTTTGATGAAACAAAGGACTTGTCTCCGAGAAAGGTGATTAAAACGAATTCTTCTAACTTAATGGGGGTCCAGAATGGGCTCAGCCTCTAACTGGAAATGAGAAGTGGATAAGACCATGCAAACGTCTCTGAAGCCTCAGTCACATGCCCTATCACACATTAATCAAATTGACATTTTTAAATGACTGCTTTGTCAGGCAGAAGATGTAAGGTGCCCAGGAAAATGGCTGGGGGAACCAGCCACCTCCAGGACCAAGGGATCCCCTCGGGGAGGTCTGGACAAGTGAGACCCTGGGGGGGGGGGTTTGGGGGTGCTTTTGCCCCAGGCAGCTGGTATAATGCCCGTCCCTTCCTGGGAGGAGTGTGACCAGCAGCTGAGAGGGAGCAGATGCAGTTGGGCCCAAGAAGCCATACGCCACCTCCCTGTCCGCCCCAACTGGACAAGGGGCCACCAGCAGTCACCCTGACTGCCTAGTTAGAAGCAACCTGCTGCCTGGGTGGCCCCAGTGCCTGGGCCTGCTGTCCAGGGGAGTGAGGTGGGACGCAGCGGGTCCAGGTCTCCACGCAATGCCAGGCACCCTCAGTGGCCATGTCTGCAGGATACGACCTTCAGCCTCTGGCAGCAAGACCACCTGCCTCTGTGAGACCCTCCAGGAAACTCTTCACCATGACTGGTGCCCACAGCAGCGCCCGTCACACCAGGAGGCCATGGAGGCTCCGTGACTCGGTTCACTGTATCTGGCTCACTAGTCACTTTCCACTCAGGTGGCTTCGGGACTCCTGAGGGGTAAGGGCGGGCGTCACGCTTCTCACATTAAAATGGGGAAACCAAGGTCAGGCAGGAACAATCAGCCAGTATGTTCTGAGTGGCTGACTAAAGAAAGAGTGGGGGACCCTGTAACCCCTGGCTCTGGGCTACTGCTCCTTAGGCCCACCTCCCCATCTTCCACTGAGAGGCAGTAGAACGGATGTGGCCGGCCCACGTGGGGGGCCTATAGGTAGCATGATGCTGTGCGAGGAGAGGAACTCATCTGGCCGCAGGACCCCCTTCTCCATGCGGGGCGCTTTCCTGCTCTCCACCTTCCTGATCAAGGGAGGGAAGTTAGCCAGGAGGGAAGTCAAGGACAGGCTGGTCCAGGAACCTGATGGCTTCACTGGCGGGGATGGGGCCCCGCTCTCCCTGGGGTATGCAGTTCGCAGTTTGACTGGGCGGCCACAAAGAACCAAGGCGGGGCTGTTGGACCCTCTGCTCAGCTCCCACCCCTCTCCCATCATCAGCAGTGACGGGGGCAGGGAGGCTCTGTGCAGGGTGGGTGGGTAGAAGTGGGGGAAGAGTCTTGTCCTGCACACAGGGCTCAATTTCCACTTCAGCCCGACACGTCTCTCCCCTGCTGGGCACTGGCTATGCCATTTCAAAAGGTCAGGTGGGAAAACAGACTAGAGGAACGGACCTGGCCAAGGCCACAGGTTGGTCAGGGCAGACAGGCCGCTCCACACCAGTGGCAGGTGTCCCCACGTGGCCATTCCCGTGAGAAGGCCATCATGGCTTCTGCACTAGAGCTACAGCTACGTCCACCCTCTAAGACGGAGAATGGGCAGGGCCTACACCAGGTATCGCTGAGCTCTGCCCACGGCGACTGCGTTTCTTGCCCGTCCTAAGGTTCCACAGCAAAGTGCCTCCCCGGGTAAGCTTGGGGTGAAGAGGCAGCAAGAGGGGGGAGGGCAGGGGGAGGCGGAGAGGCCGGCTGGGAGGTGGGCTGGGAGCAGCCGGCCCTGGTGGGGAATGCCTGCCATTCCTCACTCTGTGCCCACACAGCGGGATCTTCCACCCACCAGGAAAGGAAATTGAAAGCATCCCCATCCGACCATGTGAGCCTGGCCCAGGGACTGGGGATTAGAGGCCGAGCCCCTGGGGGAGGCTGGGGGCGGTGGGTGGCCATGTGGCAATGCTCCTCATCAGAGGACAGGAAAGCTGCAGTTTCCTGTTTCCGGTGCTGGGGTCCCTGGGAGCGTCTCTCCTGGCAAGAGGCGGCAACAGGCAGTGCTGGTTTTATGTGGTTGGGGGAGATCGCATGTTGGCCCCAAGATGCACAGAAGCCAGCCCGGGAGCCAGCCCGGCCAGGAGCTCATGCAGAGGTCAGCGGATCTGCTGCGGAGATGGTGCCCGCCCCCTCTGCACTCACCCACCTTCCTGGCAGGTGGTGGGCTGCTAGGGTGGTGGGAAGCAGCCGGGACTTCTCTCCACTCGGCTCCAGAAGCCAGGCATCAGATTTCAAGGCCGCCTCGTTGGTTGTGAAATCGAGACAGGAGCCAGTTCCCATTCTCTGAGCTGGTGTCCCCTGCCTACCTCTGCCAGCCCTGGGTGCCCATGGCAGTCTCCGTGGCAGCCCCTGAGACCCCCATGGGCAGGATCTGCTCTGCCTTGGTCCTTCCTAGCCAGCTCTGGACCCTTGTCTGGAGACTGGTCAGCACCCACAAGCAATGGAAGCTCTGATCTCTCTCTCCTGGGCCTCCTCAGCACCCAGCTGCTCATGTGACCTTGTGACCTGGTGCTGAGCAGGGATTAGGGGCCAGAGGCCCAGGGAAGGAGCAGGGGTGCAGGGAGAAATCCCTTTCCACACCAGATCCAGCCTCCCCACCGTGGCTGAGCCTCCAGGCAGCCCTGCTTAGAATAAGCTTTCCTGAGCCCCACCCCAGGGACCTGAACAGGGAGTGAGGAGCTTGACAACCTCAGCACCAGGGGCCAGTGGATCAAAACCTGCTCTCTGATCTCCCTCCTGGCCATGATCCAGCCTGATGGTAATTAGCAGAGCCTCATTACCCGGCCCTGGGGAGGCCACTGCCAGGGACCACCACAGAGAGGTAATGCGGTGCAGCTGTGGCTGGAGCGGGGCCTTTCTGGGTCAGAGGCTGCCTGGGAGAGGCCAGGGAAGAAGATGAAGTGATTCGGGAGCTTCAAGGCAATGCCCACCCCTTAGGGGACCCAGGGAATAGGCCCGTCTGATCGCTGACCAGAGCCTGCCTGACAGAAGAGGAGTCTCACAGAAGAATTTCTGACCCTATAGGTCATGAGTAAAGGACCTTCCCAGGCGGGAACCCGTGGCGGCGCCCTTCCCCATGTGCAGCCACCCCCACATTTCAAAAGCCGAGTGCTGCAGGCAGCTGCTCTCCCAATCCGGCTGGGAGATGAAAGGCCTTGCTCATCTCCGCTGAGGGCTCGCCAAGATCGCTGCTGGCTTAACTCAGCAGGCTGTTCCACCGTCCGACAGGAACAGAGGGAAAATGGCCATACGGCTGACCGGAGCACAGGCCAGCTGCTGAGGAGGCTCACACGCCCCATCACAGCGCTGGGCAGTGGCCGGTTCTCTAGAGCTACCAGCAGGTCAACCCCAGGGCGCAGATCGGGTAGCTGGTGACCCCGTCGGTTTCCCGTCAACCCCAAGCCTAAGGACAGGCGACTGGAAAGGACATTCAGTCCCCAGGTGACCAGTTGACCTGCCTCTCCAAGGAGTGCCCTGAGTCTAGTCCCCAGATGACCTTTACTCACTTTTTCAAGGGCTCAACCACGGTCTTTTGAATCTGGTTCACCTGTCGGAAGAAAAACCCAATGACATCAAAACTGGGGGAAGCCAGACTCTTCCTAAAGGGGAGGCTCCAGTTCCTGAGAAGAGAAAGGAGACCTGTCAGGGGCACCCGAGAGCCCGGAAGGAAGGGGCCCAAGTAGGTCAGGCAGGGTGGGCACTTCTAAGGGCAGCTGGGGTGAGGCAGAGATGGCGACCAGGAAGCCTGAAGGGCAACAGGAGCACCCTGTCCTCGTCCCTAATGAACTCCTACCCTGCCAGCCGCGGTCTGCCAAGGCCCATGTGGCCTCCTCAGTGAGGCTGGTCAGGCAGAGCGGACCTGCATCCCCTCATGGCCTCCGTGTGCGTGATGTGAGCCGTGGGAGCCGCGGAGAGCAGGCCAGCAGGAAAGAGCACACAGGCCTCGGGGGGCTGAGGGCACCGAGAGGGGCCTGAGCCCTGTTACGGACCCCATGTAGGTGCTCCTCCAGATAGAAGCCACAAGCAGGGGAGACCCAACCCCAGGCACCTTTTCCTGGTTGAAGGCGTCCATCCGTTTCATGGCTGTGTCCAGGGCTGTCACCATGTTCAGAAAGTCCTGGTCTTGTTCGCAGAGGGGGTTAGAGAGCAAGTCCAAGGATATCTTCACAGCAGATTTGGACATGGCTGTGAGAAGTCAGAGTTCAGGGAACTTGTGCAGGGACAGGCTTCCAAGCCTTGTCATTAGGGCTCCCGTCTTCCCTCAGTCCAGGGGCCTGCACCCAAGGCCAGAGGCCACACAAACGACAAAGTACCACAGAGCATAAGACACTGGTCCTTATTGGACAATGTTCATTCCTGATCATCTGATATTCTGGATCATTCTTTTGGGCAGCTTTACCTGCTGCAATGACAATGTTCTAACTCTGGGTTATAACAGAATCATCTGGGTGGGAAGCTGTTGGAAATGCAGATTTCTAGCTGCAAAGACTCTAATCCAGCCAGTCTGGAATCCAGGACGATGCCTGTCAGAAGCCCTCTCCAGGTGGCTGGGAGGTGCAGTGTGCTGGGGGGACCAGGGTAGCATAGCACACAACAGCAGGGCAGCAAACTTACTGTAAAGAGCCAGAGTCCAGAATTTAGGCTTGGAGGGCCATACGGTTTCTGTTGCAACTACTCAACTTTTCCACAAACAATACCTAAAGAATGGGTGTGGCTGTGTTCTGATAAAACTTTATTGACAAAAGAAGGCCAGGTTTGGTGTAGCTAGGTAACTCCTGGTTTCAATGACACACTTACTGGAAAGGCAGTGGGGAGCGATGAAGAAAGATGCTGTCCAGGTAACTCAGAACTAACTTCAAAACAAATAACAGCCGGTCTCCAAAAGCAGCCCCTTGGCTTGCTGCACACATAGTTTGGAGACGCTAGGGGCCAGGAGTGAGGGCTGTCATGCTCAGACGTGCCCACGTTCTCTGGATCGCGCTGGCCTGAGGCTCCGAGGCACAGACAGCAGGAGCCAGCCCTGCACCTGGCTGCGGCGGCGGCTACGCCCGGGAAAGGGGAGAGTGGGGCTCTGCTAAGTGAAGACTGACCTCAGGCCACTCCTCAGGGACATCTGTTGAACATCTACTAAGTGCACTTACTTCAAAGCCAGCCCGAAGGTGACAGAGGGAGGAGGGCATCCACCTGTGCCCCGCCCAGTCCAGCTGAGGGGACATGCCACCTACCCAGGTCAGCATCGGTGCTCTTCTTCAAGTCCTTTTGCAGCTTCCTGGTCTGCTCTTCCAGCCTGCAAGGCAAGGGCACGGCTTTGGTCCCCTGCCTTCCCATCTACCTGAGGGAGGCCCACCTTGGTGCTCTGGAATGCCCATCGAGAAAAGGGGCCCTTGTCTGTGGGGACTTTTCCCTACTCACTGAAGGGCCTAAGCTCTGCAAGAGGCCAAGCACCCAGAGGCTGCGAGTTAACGACTGTCACACAGCCACCAGTTGGGGGAGACTTTCTGGCAGGTGGTAAACCGAGCTGCTCCCGGCTCCTGGGGTGGTGACAGGAGCACCCACTAACGGGGAAGCAGACAAAACTGCGGGAAGTGAGACCTGGCAGAAGGCTCTGGCCATTCTCCGATCCCAACCCCCTTCCTTTTGGGATGTGACACTCACTGCTGCAGTTTTCCATACTCCCTCTCAAAGTCTCTCTCCACCTGTAATGAGAGAGAGAGAGCTCAATCATCAGAGAAATGACAACACTTTGGAAAAAATCTGCCAGCCTCCAGACACTCCCTCCACACCCTCTCCCGTCTACAGAAACAACACGGTCCAGTTCACACAGGCACCGGCAGGTCATTAACGACACAGTGCCCCTGTGTTCCCAAATTAATTGTCTGATTTAGGGCGAGAGACTCCCCTCCCAGACGTGCCAGCCAGGCAAGTACCAGCGGCTCTTCTTTCACCGCAGGGAGTGGGGCACTGAGCGGTGTTCCCTCTTCTCACCCTCCCCTCTGGGGACAGGTAAGCTGCTCACCATGTGACGCTCAGCCGGGGAGGCAGCAGTGGGCAGAGGCAAAGGCGGGTATGAACTCCACTTCTGTCTCTGCCACTGAGCAGTTCTGAGGCAAGGCCCGAGCAGGTCACCTCCCTGGGCACAGGCCTAGTTTCCTCACGGTCCTACCTGCCAGCTCCAGGGTCCATCAAGAAAGACCACGTGTCCACGCTCTGTGTACTGGGACGTACCAAACACAGATACCATTACCACTGACTCCGCCAGGCTCCCTAACATCCTGATTACTTAGCGATCAGATTTCCCGTGCCAGCAATGTTTAAATTGAACGGGTGGAGTCCTGGACCTTATTCCACTGCCTACACGTCAGGTGAGGTCAAGAAAGTGACTTGCACTTCCACGGCTGAATGTCCCCCCCGGCCCCCGGAAAAAGGGGCCCCCCACCGTGGCTCTCAGGCACGTGGCCTGTGGAGTAAGTGACATCTCAGAGCCTAAAGAGGGGACGGCGAGAGGCTTCCTTCTCCTTCCTTCTTGTCCACGAAGGCAGTACCAGGCCCTGCCACCGTGTGGAGCCTCTGGCTGAGGGGCTCTGAGAGGGAACCTGGCTACACTCACTGAGGGAGCCCATGCGGGCTTCCCCAGTTCAGCCAGGAGGCAGGTGCACCATGGCCCGCACTGTACTGAGGAGGTGACGGGGACAGAGGTGAAGCTGCCTGTGCAAGGTCACACCACTGTGAGCAGCCAAGTTCTCAGGCCTGTGCTCTTAACCGTCATTCCACGGCAAGGGAAAAGCTGTTTGCTGAGGAATGAAAGCCACAACCTCAGAAAGATGGCTTCTTGGCTGCGCCCCCAAGACCTTGCCAGTACAGGCTGGAGGTCCAGGAGTACAAATCTGCAGAAATCATCAAAGCCATGCTGCTCTCCACCTGCAGGCCCTTCCATCAAAGGTGCCCCCGTGGAAGAGTATTCTAAGGCCCATCAACCTCAGACTCCACACAGTCACAGAGCGGCAGGACACGATTCAGGCCAATTATTTCATGTGATACACGAGGAGAATGAAGCCAAAAGAGGGAAGTGATTCACATAAGGACGGCTAGAATTCAGACTCCTGGTGCAGGCCTTTTGTTTATTTTTTTCAACTATATTCATCCGTCCCATAATCATTTAAAGAACACCTATTAAGTGCAATGCATTCTGCCAGGTGCTAGGGATACCCTGATGGACAACAGAGATGTGGGCCCAGGGGGGCATGATCACACACACACACGGATACCTGCAAGCAGGGGAGCCCTGTGGAGGGTGAGGGCGGGACAGTGAGAGTGATGTGGGCCTGGCTCAGCTGAGGTCCTCAGGGCACCACCACATGTCACTTTCTGCATTTGAACTGGGAAATTTAGAAGCAGCAACACATGGTCCTTTCCTTACTTTATGATCCTAGCATCTAGAACACTGTACCAAGAGCAGACACACTTCTATTTAAAATTGATCTCATTCCTTAATGATCCACCAAAAGCTACTCTTAAGAAAAAATGCAAAAACTCCCACTCCCACTAAAGCATATGTACCGTTTAGAGTTTAAAGTGTTACCTAACACAGGGGATTTGCAGTTTGACAAGAATGAGATCACAGCTAAAGGCAGAAAAGGCCTCCGGGGCCCGCAGCGGGGAGATCTGTTGTGGAGCAGAGGGGCCTGCAAAGTCAGCACTGAAGCTAGCCCAGCCTTTCTCTATCAGCACGGGAGGAAAGGGAGGAGCTGGGAGAGACGGGTAAGGCAAACTCTTGTTACCGGCCCTGGAGCCTACCTAACATCTGAGCCTCATCTGAGTTTCTTGTCTAGTATTGGGATATTATATTTGGCCTCACCCATGTAAATTTCAGGGGCTGACAACGAAATGGGGTAACAGCGTCAGCCTCGCCTACTTGTTTTGCAGATTCACAGAAGTACATGTGGAGTGCAGGGGAGGGCGCCTGGCCCATGGGTGGTGCTGGCCTGTTCCTCCTCCACACAGGGGTGGTGAGAGGACCACTGGGGGTGAAGCAGAGCAAAGCATGTGGTCCATTGACAGCAAGGGCACTCCTGATTTTGGCTAAGCCTGGAGTTCTGTGCCTGGGGCGCCATACTGGGCCCTCCCTTCATGGGACAATTTCCTTTCTTACTTTGTAGGGTGTGAGCCAGTCTTTACATAGCCAAGGTACCGGTATTTCCCCCCGAAAAGATGAAATTAAAATTAAGGATGTCTTAGCCAGAATGCAGTTCTCCTAAAGGTCAAGAACACGGAGTAGGTGCTCTGAGGGAGGTGAGCGCCCCCGGCCCCTGGGGCCGCAGCCCTGGCGCGCTCTGCTACAGTCCCCGAGCTGCGTGTGTGGGCTGTTAGGAGCACCTGGTCCTCCTGGCTGGGGCTGTGTGGACTTGCACAGAGAAGGACTGCAGGTTTCCAACTGGGGTGGAGCATTCTGGCTGATGAGGAACGCGAGGTCTCACCCTGGAAGCTGAGAAGCGTGTTGGAGTGAGAGCGTGGTCCTTTTACTTTATGTCCCTCACAGCCATCTGACAGCCTAAGAGAAGGTCATGAATATTTCACCTCCTCAGCCTGGGAGCCCGGTGTGGGCCGCTGCTATAGCTCACAGTCCCCAGGCCTCTCTCCTCCACCGGGCATAGATCTGGGGGCAGCACCAGGGCTCTGGCCCCTCAGATGAGGAATAAAGGGACACACTGGAGTCTCATTCCAAGGTCTATCCATCCTGCGGGAAAGAGCCAAACACAAAAGATCTGAACATCTTTGAATGCTTGATGCCTTTGCCAAAAAGGCAGCTGGACCGCAGTCAAGAATGCGAGTGCAAACACATGTGCACAACTGTCAGCGGGTCAGAGCGGGCGGGTCGGCTGGCGAGGTTAGCTCGAGGAGAGTCAAGCACAGGACGGCTCAGAGTGGCAGGGAGGGGCTGCACGGCTCCCTGCCATCTCCCCGGCGCTCAGGTCAGGCTGGCACCTTGTAGGAGCTCGGTTCTTGTTAACTGAAAGAATGGGTCAAGTTCCCACCCAAACCTGTGCTCCTTACGTGAAAAGAGAGACCAGCCGAGAAGACCCTCTGCAAGGCTGCTCGAGGCAGGGGGCGGGGGGCAGCAGCCGTCCTACGGCACAATGCAACAGGACAGGGATGAGGCTGAGGCCCCTCGTGTCACATGGAAATCTTTTTGAAGTGAAGGCTCTCTCTGCCTGACTTCACAGAGTGCCCACCTAGCTAGGGATTGAAGTGTGTGCCTTCCTCTGGTGGGAGACCCAGGGTACTTGCTTCAGAGAGCGCTCCAGCCTCCCAGGGATGGAGGGCGGGCAGCTTCTTTTCGCCATGCCAAGATGCTCCAGCTACTTTTTGGGATCAGGGGAGGGAAGGGACCAAGCAGAAGGTGAGGACGGGGAGGTGGGAGACCGTCCTTTTCAGTCCCACTGGTCAGCGTGTGCAGAGAACATGCCATTCCAGCCGAAGCTGTGACAATAATGGAATCTGCCTTAATCACCTGGGCACATGAGGCAGTGAAGGCAGACACACAATGCTTTCTTTGTGCCTGACAGTCGAGTGTCTTGAGCCAAAAACCTCCTGAAACTCCCTGAAGATAACATGAACATTTCTTCCCATGACAGGGCGCTGTGACTTCCAATAACCCAGGCAGCCCCATCTGCTTCCCGCCCCGAGAGTGCCTGGGCAAGAACAACAGGGTGCGTCACCACTGCTGGGGGCAGCTGTGAAGATGCTGAGATAACCACACGCCCTGGCGGTGTGCAGGGCAGGAGGGGGCTTGGCGAGTGGAGAACCAGACTCCGGAGAGGCAGGGTCTTGCTGCAGGCACTTTAGTGAACCTGGGAGTTGAGGAAGCAAATCACTCTATTCCCGCTGACACTGCACCGGGGAAGCCAGCTACTGGGACTGGCGGAGTCCTCGTGGTTTATCACCTGCCTCTCTGCCAGCAGGGTAGTTAGTGTTTACTGAGGCCTTACTATGTGCCAGACACTGTGCGAAGTACTTCGCATGCATCATCTCATGTGAGACTCGTTACACATCCACGGCATGGGTCCTAGCACCACCCTCACTTTACAGAGAAACTGAGCCGCAGGGAGGGTAAGGCCCTTGCCTAAGGTCACACACAGCGTGCCAGAGCCAGGATGGCGATCCAGGCCGCGAGTCTGGCTTCTTACCCACTACTCGAAAGCCAGACTGTGCAGGGGAGCTGATGCCACAGTTAGAGACCACAGTTGCATCCCCAGTAAGACGGTGCTAGGAAGAGGCGAGGGTGCCACGGCCCGCGGGGCCACACAGGCACAGGGGGTTTTCTCAGCTTGTCCATCTGCCCTCCCCTGTGGAGTCCCTGCCACTCCTCAGACTGAAACACCCACAGATCTGCCCGTCAACAAACTCTGGCAAAGCAGCTAGAAGCTGCATGCTACTTTTCTGTGGAGAACAAGGCCATCTCGATAAAGGTTGGGGAGCTGAGAGGATTTTTGTTTGTTTTGTTTTTTGGTAGTGAGTGTTGGGAATACAAGACCCTTTTCAAAACCACTTCCCTTTCAGATCTGCCCTGGATCACACTCTGGAGACCCACAGCCACACCTTCCCACTTCCTGCAGTGGGCCGGAGCCCAGCACTGCACGCCCAGGTTCTCAGCGCGTCAGCTGAGCTCCACAGATG